TTATTTTACTGCCAAATTCAGAAGATTGGAACAAAATTCATCCAGGATCTACTTAGAAAGTTATCACAGAAAAGTATGCGTTTGACGAAAATGAATGGAAATTGTCCTACTTAAATTCAATTATGGAAAATACTGACAAGATTATGTTTGTTCGTGAACCTTACTCTCGAGTACTGTCGGGATATGTTGATAAACTTTTTGCACCTAACAATGTTTACTGGGATGTAACAGGATGATCGGTGCTTGCAAAAACTAGAGATGACGTTGATAATCATTCTTTGTCATGTGGTCATGATGTCTTGTTTCCAGAGTTTGTAAAGTATATGATTAAATCCGAAAAACAGGGTCTAAATCTTGATCGCCATTACACACCTTTATACGAACACTGTCGGCCATGTCAAATTTCATACGACTTCATCGGAAAATTTGAATCGTTTAAAGAAGATATTTTGTTTTTGTTGGCTTATTTGAATATTCAACACGGCACAAACATAACATTTAGTGATTTTGAGTCTGAAACAACAGAATCAAGAGCTATATTTCAAAGTCAACGTTTGTTCAATTTGCGAAAGAAACTTGAACGCTGTGTTTCATTTTACAATGCAACTATGCGCACATGGAGAGAAATGCAGATAAGAGGTCTGATCTCGATACATAAACAATTTCTATTCGATGCAGAATATACTGAAAGTCACATGACAAAAAAGAATTATTTGTCGCAGTCAAAAATGCTATTTCAAGTGTACAAAATATAAGCGAAGTTAAAGCACAGCGTGATGCAGCATTGATCGAAGCATTTAGACTTGTGCCTACAGTCGACCTTTACTCCTTACGACGATTTTTAAAACCTGATTGTGCATTGTTTAATTATATTCAATGCCTATGAAAATATTTGACAATCAGAATATGGACAAAAATAGTGTTAAATATTTCAATCTGTTTTGAAAATTAGCAATAAACATATTTTTCAACGCATTAAGGTAAAATAAAATTTTCTATTAAAGAAATATATTCTAGAAGCTTAATTCGACAGATGTCCAAAAATACAATTTTAATGTCTGTCTCTGTTACACATAATTTCTTTTCCCATGGAATAAAATTGTTAAAACATAACCTTCTCAAACAAATTAATAGTATGTATTTTTTAGTAACAAAAATGGTCGTCGTAACACCCTGTCGAGAAAAGCAACATCTTATCCTAACCATTTTTTTATTTGTCAATGATCTGTAAAATGTATAAATATGCTTGATATTATAATATATCATAAATGTTACTACTTGATGTAGCACTGGGACTATTTGTCCGGCTAGCCAAATTATCAGAGGTGGGGCTATTTTTCACGTTATCCAGTGGAATATTGATGCATCCAATTGTCTGGACAAACCCATACTTATGACTACTGTAATCATGTCTGTCCAAAAAGGGTCCTGAATAATCTAATGTGTCGTTGAGGGGGTCTCCGTTTTTTAGTTACACCATAGCTTCTATAAAAAATACTTTGCTGTATAAAATATGAACACGTAGTATGATTGCCAATGAAACAATTCTCCACCAGAGACCAAATGACGTAGAAGTAAGCAACTAAAGGTCACCGTGCAGCCTTCAACAATGAGCAAAATCCTTACCTCATAAAAAGCTTTAAAAAGTAAAATCACAAAAATACTGAACTCCGAGGAAAATTCAAAAAGGAAAGTCCCTAATCAAATGGCAAAATTAAAAGCTCAAACACATCAAACGAAAGGATAAAAGAGGAACGAAAGATACCAGAGGGACAGTCAAACTCATAGATCGAAAACAAACTGACAACGCCATGGCCAAAAATAAAAAGACAAACAGACAAACAATAGTACAGATGACACAACATAGAAAACCTAAGACTAAGCAACACGAACTCCACCAAAACCTGGGGGTGAATCAGGTGCTCCGGAAGGGTAAGCAGATCCTGCTCCACATGTGGCACCCGTCGTGTTGCTTATGTTATTACAAATCCGGTAAATAGTCTAATTCGGTAGGTCACATTCGTGAAAAGGGGAGGGTATTGTAGTTACGACATAAGGAACATATCCGATATCATCTATGAAACGGTTATTCTATAACGGTCAACCAACTCCTGATCCCGGCCGTAAAATTTACGAAGGGATTATTTCAACTTCACCATTTGGAACTCTTGGTTTAATAGCTTCCTTGTGAGCAGCAATCCTCTATCAAGGAAATCATGATAGGAAATACAAGCCCGGGAATATCGTATCAATTGGGAGATATATACTCCGTATGTTGGCGCTGCTGGAATGTTGCTACATAGAAAAGGAAACTTCACAATTGGGAAGCTGAAATCATCCCTTTTGTCGTAAAGTTTTGTTTTCAACCGACCCTCATTGTCAATTTCTAGATGTAAGTCAAGATATGAGGCAGACTTAACTGTATCTGTAGTATCCTTTATCTCTAGTTCGATAACAACTGTCATATTCCTGACTTGGTACAGGCATTTTCTTATGTAGAAAATGGTGGATTGAACTTGGTTTTATAGCTAGCTAAACCTCTCACTTGTATGACAGTCGCATCAAATTCCACTATATTGACAACGATGCGTGAACAAAACAAACAGACACAATAGGTAAAAATGTCAAAAATAGGGGTACAGCAGTTAACATTGTGTTATCATCTTAATCACTATAACAACAAACAAATGTAACGGAGAAGCACAGAAAGGCATACATCAAATTTAACATCCTCAAAAAGGCCCCGAAATGACAAATGTAAAACAATTCAAACGAGAAAACAAACGGCCTGATTTAGTACAAAACAATAAACGAAAATATAATATACAACAACAAACGACAAGCACTGAATTACAGGCTCCTGACTTGGGGCAGGCACATACAGAAGTGGTGAGGTTACATATGTCATCGAGCGCCCCACCCTCCCCCAAAACCTGGGACATTGTATGGTACAACAGAATATCACAAGAACAAACTATACAAAACAATCAACGAAAAACAAATATGATAAACAGCAAAAACCGACAACAACTCAATGACAGGCTCCTGACTTGGGACAGGCACATATAGAATGTGGCGAGGTTAAATATTTTATCTTTGTTAGTTCAAAGTCAACCATAACGAATAAAAGGTCATGTATCTTAGACAAACATATAAATCAGTACACATCCAACATCCAATGGATTTAATGTAAAGACGTCATTAATAGTCAGGGAAAGACATGACCTTGTGTAATGCAAAAATATAGGTATCGACAGATTGTAGGACCATGAATGTACATGTATATGTGTATATGCATCGTTATCAAAATTAAAAGGACAATAAAACCATGTTTATGCACAACTTAAAATCGTCTATAAAATCAAGGTAGTCATCATGCAATTGTTCAACCAATTAACAAAGTAAAGTATTTTTCTATCTTTTATTTAGAGATTGGTGTTTCCCGATTTTATTTAAATCGGTGTAACATTTGATACATTTGTTTTATTTTTTTCCTTACACACACATATGCATAACACATACATGACAATTATCAATAAAAGAAGATGTCGGATAAACGTCAAATTCAAAATTAAAGCAACGATACAAAGGCCTTAAAACTTTTAGAATTCAACATATTTCTTTTCTCTCTAAAATAATTCAACATTAGACATAGGGATCATTTTATTGACATTTTCTATGTGTATCATCCCCACCAGAAAAAAAGATGAAAGGATATAGAAATGATGATATTGTTGGTTCGATTTGATTAACTAATAATAACTGTAACGAATCAAATATTGCTGACAAATACTGGCTTCCCCCCGAATATTTCCGGTTTCAGGTTGATTTAATCGCAAACATTTCATTCAAATTGTTTTGAACAATCTTAATTTCGTGCTATAGTTTAGCTTCTCACTAGTAAACCAATTTGTAACTGAAACGATCATTTTGATGTGAACTGCTATTAAAAGACTAAACAATGAATTATTTAATCATTTTCAGTGAATTATCAGACTTATCTACGTTCTTTAAAGGCTAAACAATGAATTATCTAATCATTTTCAGTGAATTATCAGACTTTTCCACGTTCTAATAAGGCTAAACAATGAATTATTTAATCATTTTCAGTGAATTATCAGACTTATCCACTGCGGTAAAGTCAGAACAGTAACTGTTGAGACAATTCGCTTGCAGATATTTAAGATCTGTTCAGTCTATGTTCAGAATGTTTAGAAGTTGCTTTTTACCTGTACAAAAAATGAAAACAACACTTTATAAATTTCATGCGTGCGAAGTGCTATTCTGGTTTTACCTTCATCAGAAATAGCAACATACTGAATACTCTAAATAACTACTTAACAGAACTGGATTGACTGCAAGCCATATTACTGAACGGTACTGAATATCCAAAGAGAAAAAAAAATCGGAAAATTAACATAAGCTCATAAGAAGACTTAACGTTATAAGGTTCAAAATCTTCAGATGTTGTTAAGTTCATAATGACCATTTAACACCCAAATCAGTTTACTAATTTTTATTAACAGATATATTAGTCTTATCTATCTTCCAATATCTGCAATTGTAATTTGAGTCTACGTTTGTTTTGTTGATATGTTGATACTTTGGTCTAACTTGATTTTTGCTGACGTATACGTGTCTTTTCATTGGTTCCGTTAACAGTTGATAAGGTTAAGAGCTTCTTGAAAATACCATTAAACATTCGAATGCCTGTATCAAGTTTGAACATTTAGGTTTTTTGATAAAACTTTATTTGTTGTATTGTTTATATATTTATGTTGTGGAGCTCGACATGTTTTTTTTAAATGTTTAGTCAAAAACAAATAAAGTGAACTTCAGAAGATACTGACCCTTCCAGAGTACCTGGCTTTTCAGTCATAAAACTTTACTCCGTACTTGGAGTACAACATTTCTGTTCGAAACACCAAATCCAGTACTTTGATTGGTTGATTTCTGAATGAGTTCGATAATCGTACTCGAAATGTTTTAGACTGTAAGACCTGGTCTCACTTCCAGTTTTATGTAGTTCATTTTGTACGAGCTTTTTTGTTTTATTGCTTCTAAACTTTCCGAGAGGTAAAACTATATATGAGGTGCATACGCAACAACTGCACTAATGATCAGTTTTAATCGCTGTTATTTGACAGTTTAGATCGATTTACTTAGAGCTCCACCATTCTAAGGAAAATGTTTGGGTGCATATGTCGTTTTTATTATTTTCCTGGTTTTTGTTATTGCCTGACCTTTATGGCTGAAATTTTGAAGATTTATCTATTATATACATATAGAACATTTTCTTAACCAAATCTAATGTACATATAGAACATTTTCTTGACCAAATCTTGAAGTGGAAGCTTTATGTAGTAACGTGTGTTAACCTTACACCCAGTAACATATTATTTTTTCGAATGGCGGAGGTCTGCTTGGCTGTCTCCCGAATAAAAAAAACCCGTGCAATTTTCTTCCCCCACTGTGACGACTATATGGTTTTTGCTGAAGTTTTGCAAAAAAAGAAAACAATATTATATGATTGTCAATGGAAATCTTTTGTCATAATTTAGAGTCACATATTGTTTGATTTGATTACTTGCAAATGTTGCGCATTGAATGATAAATATGAGTATAAAAAAAATAATTGTCTTGTTTTTTTTCTTTCACAATATTTTCTAGACTCATGGTGTAATGCAGAAATCATATGCCAAATATTCCACGTAGTATGCATATTTGAAAGGATCAACGAATATGCATAACAGTTAATTACATATATACACATAATATTTGATGAAAAGTGAAAACTAATTTGCATAGTTTGTTTTACCATGTACCAAGACACAATCTTGAACACACACGCATGCCGAAGAGTTTTAAGAAGCCAAAAACCTTTATCTTTCTCTCATGACTCTCAATAACATGCGTTCATTTAAAAGACTAAATCACTGATTAAACTAATTATTGCTCTCACATATTGAGGTTATAAAAACTTGCCCTCTTAAAAAGGTATTATATAATTTATATGATAAATCAATTATACCACACCCAGCCAAGCTGTAAACATAAATATAGGGGTTTAATATATGTGAAACGTTAGTTCATAGGAACGCGTAATCATTCACAGGGTTGCTAAAGAATACAAAGTTTTTCCCGGACACACGTTCCTCTATCTGTCTTATTATTTGTTTCCATAAGAGTGGTTTTCAAATTCATTTGAACTCTTCTGTTCATTATTTGATTTATTTCTCCTCCATATTATGCATGCCACAATTAAAGAATCTGTAATACTATAACTGCTATTATTATTCCAAAAATGCCACCTGCACTGCTAGTTTTATAGGAAGAATCTGCTGTTCCTAAAAGTATATTTTAACATTTGACGAAGCAAAACGAATTAGACAATACAACGACATAATATTTTATACAATTCAATAGTTCAATTTTAGAAATAACTTGCAGTATCATTGATTTTGATACATTTTGGAAAACCTCCAAATCATTTGATTTGTTGATGTCAATCAAATATCAAAATATGTTTTTATAAGCATCATTCGTATTTCGTATATCAAAAACAACACAAAAGTATTTTCCAAAGTATTTATCTATCATTTGCCTTTGAAGTTTCGGGCTTGAGCGTTCCAGATGAAGGAGATTCCAGAAAAGTGCCTCAAACCCACCAATCTTTCTAAGGTGTTTTCATTTCCCAAATTGTCCTTAAAAATCTTTATCCAAAAGTTAATTACAGACCGAAAATGTTGTTCAAAGGATGCTTTAAGGACTGAATTGAAAAATTATGTGACACGCTAACTTTTCTTCAGATTTCCAACGCAACTTTAAAATTGCATTTATCCAATTTATTTGAAACTAACCTTTATATACCTGAGGTCATAACGCAGTAGTAAGTATTCAGTCTATCATTTTGTTTAGTATTATCAATTTATTTTAGTGATTTTATTTTGTCTATTATGTATCTGTTCAAAAAGTTTCATTGTCAACTTCGTAGCTTCCTACTTAAAGAAAGAACTCACATATTGATGTATGACTAAAATGACATTAAAAGTAGTATAGATTGTTCATGTCGAATTGACACATTTTAGAATGAAGGTTGTGTTCATCAGAATATTGCATTAAACATTCCTAAATTCGTACTGATAAGCGTACTGATAAGACGTTCCAAATCCAAAAGGAACCAAGTGATACATGAATCATGTATAAATGCGAAACTCGATATTGAAGTTATAGTAAATTTACAAACCAGATCCCGATGGTTCTGAAAGTTTATGCATCGTCTTTACGATAGCATCAGCAGTTTTTCCAAGGAAATTGATATTTTCATCGGTCAGCATGACTTGTAGATTATCACATTCATGATGATAACATTGTATCATATCACCTCGGAAATTGGCTGCAAATAAATTGAAATGGCAGTTAGAATTTTACATTTTTCATTTTCTTAACAGAACTTTTCAACGTTAAATATTTTCACTATAAGTTGAAATTAACATCTTCAAAATTTCTTGAGCTGACTTAAAAAGAGTTGTTGAATTTTATTTTTTGCATTTCATATATCATAGTGTACCAAGTTCATTATGAGGACAAATAATAGGGATTATAATTGATAAACATTATGAATAAAAGGAGATACAACAACAAAATGTCTGGAGCTGTTATAATGTGTAATAAATGTTTGAAGTTACCCGAGTCCGTCAACCAGATGGCTGGATAACCATTTTCCCAGAAATTACCATGATCACTTCGCATGAAGTCAATGAGGACGTTTTTGTCGTCAGATGGTAAAGTGCTGAACTTTAGAAACGATAGAGGAAGAGATTCTATTTCATATTTTGCTTTCCCCAGACCTCTCCAAGACGAAAGAAATTCGGCAGCTAAGTATGAATCGTTAGTTGGTTGCCGGTATATCAAATTAAGAAAGTCTCCTCGGAAATTGTCAGAAGCTATACTATCATACGTTTCTGGAAATGCTGTTTTAAACTGAAAAATATTTAGATTAATGAAGACTGTACAATACAGAACGGTTATTGTCATGGAAACATCAAAACAAGTAATATTTGTTTTTCGTAAATTGTATTAGGCCGTTAGTTTTCTTGTTTCAACTGTTTCACAATTTTCTATGTCGGGGCCTATTAAAGCTGACTATACGAAATAGATTTTTCTCATTGTTGAAGGCCGTACGCTTGGTGACCTATAATTGCTTATATCCACGTCATTTGAACTCTGATGTTAAGTTGTCTATTTGGCAATCATACCACATCTTCTCATTTTTATATGTATACAAGGTTATATACAAATCGAATACTCGAAAGCTACTGTTTCTACTGAATCTGAATGATACAACCTTTGAAACGGTTAGTTTCAGTCTATTTTAGTATTATTCGTAAGCCTTCTTTATTTCTTTGCCAAATTATCATGACGTAGCTAAATACAAACTTATCTAGGCTCTTTAGTTTTAATATTAATAAATATATAACAGCATAAAAGTTTTGAAAAATTCCCAGTGGTAATATAAATCTATAGTTGATTGTCGGTATATCAAAACTAAGCAAATCGCTTTAAAGTCAAGGTCCAAAGTTTTTTTTAATTTAGATTTAGTAAAAGGTTTTAACTAATTTATGAAAGACGTATCCATGTTTTGAAAGATTTTTAATGCTCTAGATTTACAGCTATATTATCAATTATGCATTATGCATCTTCAAGGACTTACATCTTGCTAGACCTTTATGACACATATGTTATGGTCCTCGCATAGTATACCAAACAGTATAGTGTATAGGAGTAATTCACATTACATGCATATGAACCGATAAAGGAGATAGGTATTGAAAACTCTCTTTGGAACCCAACATATACTCCAAAGACACTTAATACAGAAGAAATTCTGGACAAAAATAGGTTTAGTTTATTTTTCCTTTGGCAATTCAACCAAACATGACAAAAGAAATCTGCCCTCACTTAACTGGATATATTATAACACAAGTTTCATTAAACAAACAAGCATGAATTGCAAGATCTGTCAAATGATCCACTAAACCTCTTTCCATATTACCTATTAGCGTGGGAAGACACCATAAAAAGCAATTAAAAGCCATAAGTCGAATAAAGGCACCAGGTGAAAAAAAAATCTATCAGCAATCAAACCAGGGCTACTGAGTTGCTATGAAAGTAAATCAGATGTGGATATTAAAAAAACTCCAAAGATCTGTAAGAGTACATACAATCAAGTCGTTCCCTTTTGCAATAGTTTAATAAATATTTTACTTCTCCATCCTTTACACTTCACAAGTCTTGGGCAATTCTTAAATATAAATTGAGTTAAAATATAGAAGTTAGGCTTTGTATGGCAATAACGTATCAATTACATATAAAATCGACAATATATCTATCTATTTATTAGATGATTCTATCATGGGCAATTTTTAGGCCTCATCAACTTGGATTTTTCTTTGAATATAGCTTCAGAAGGGATCAAAGAACGATTGATTTATCTAACAATATGATCATTGAATACACTATGTATATTAGTACAAGTAAATCCTAGTATTGATGTTTAAAAAAATAATGTTTTAACGGTCTTGTCTGTTTAAATTATGAGAAAAGCATTTCGTAACAAAATTATAAATTATATTTTGTGCCTGTACCAAGTCAGGTTATCTAAACAATGTATTTTTTCGTTGTTGCTTGTCTCTGTACATCTATTTTTTTTTTGGAGGAGTCATATTTTGGTGGTTGCTGTTGTCTATAGTACTGTTCAAAATATTTGATAATTAATGTTATCCGTAAATCTTATATCAAATCTCTCTTTTTTCATCGAAAAGCTTCATGTTTACATTAATTATTTACCTGTTAAAAATAAGATTTGGTGTTGCGAAACTGGACTTGGTTATTTTAAAGGTACGCAAGAACATAAGCGCTCCTCTTTTCGAAGATATCAAAAGAGAGTAAAAAAAAACGGGGTTTAACAAGTTTTACGTTTAATTTACCTGCATTTATGTAGATCATATGTCAAGCTACCAGTTCGGTTTTTTCTTAATTTTTGTTCATTGAACAGATAAACAAGATGAATAATAATTTAAATAGTAGTAATTGTAAATATCTTAAATGTTTTGTTCAATTGAAAGGGATTTTATTTCCTGTATAGAAGTAATTGATATAGCATACCGCGTCTATTATTAGTGGTGGAATCATCTGAGATCTAGCCGAAGTATTATATTCCATCATAGTGTCCAAAATAATTACTCCATGCATCCCTGGTGGTATTGCATTGCCATAATTTATTCTTAACCATGCGGGTAGCCATGTCTGAAGAAAATGTCGGCTTCCAGCCAGTGGGACTTGAGGCAGTTTGCAACCCATCAATTGGTAGCAAGCTGCGGTAAAAAAGAAAGCAATTTGATTCCTGCCATTCCCTAAAGCATTACAGCAGTTATATGTAACATCTTTTTGTTTCAACATTACTTGACATTATAAAGTAATTAATTTCGAGTCTTCACGAGATAACATTTCTGAAATGTTAGTCTGGGAAACATGATTTATTTATTGATTGTAATCTTTGACCTAGTATTCAAAGATCCGTACTTTGTGTCTTTTGTCTTTTTGTAAGTTGTTTAGAGTTCTTCGTGCACTTTTGAACTGATTTTGACATCGCGATGATCGTGAGGACATTCCGATGTATTGATATCGCCTAGATTTCCATTACGTAACTTTCGTTTTGGGTTTGTAACCGATCTATAAACATGATAAATACGCGGATATTAACGAGCGCAAACTAACATTCCTTATCGTTTGTTATAAATACATCTCTTCAATGAACACTGATAAAAATATTTTTGTTTAGAACATAAATTAATAATATGAAAATGTTTTGTCGTTAGATATATATACAGATATATATAAGTAAAAAATCATTGATAATATCTATGCACACGTTCCGAAAAAAATGTGTTAAAGCATGCGGAAGAATATCTCAAGAATCCCGGCAAGGACCGGTAACTCTGTAATTGTTTTTGCGAGAAAATATGAATGCCTTCTCATATCCAATCTTTTAGAAAAATCAAATTTTTACAGAAGAGTGTCCACCATGCACTTGCACTGCACTATTATTAGAATAGTATAAAAGAATGATATACAAATGGATGAAAATTATATATATATGTAACTGTTATATTAATATAATATATAACAACAAACCAGTGTATACTGATTTGTATCACTACAATATAATAGTTATTACGGTGAGGTTGAATTTCCTGTCATTTATTCATCATCCACGCACGAACTTGTCTCAGAAAAAAATATATCTCTGTACATTAACCTCAGTTTCAGGTATAGAGATGTGATTTTTTTCTGTGACAAGCGCTTTTAATCATCCACAAGAACTTGCGGTCATTCGATGTTCAGTACTTCAGTACTGTGATTACAGTTTGTTCTGATTTTGTGCTGTTACACCGCTGTCAAAGGTTATGGAAGGACTGAGCGCTAACAAACATATTTGATCCATTTGTATGTGCCTGTTATACAGTAGTTGTCGTTGGTTTCTGTCTGTCATATTTGTTTTTCGTTTATAGTGTTAACAGTAATCAGCCAATGGTTTACTCAGTTTCTAGTTTGAATTTTTTTACAGTTTAGTTTAGTTTTGGGCCTTCGATAGCTTACTACGGTTTGGATTTTGCTCATTGTTGAATGGCGCACGATGAACTATTATAGTTGCTTACGTCCATGTCATTTGGTCTCTCGTGGATAGTTGTCACATTGGCAATCGTGCCACAATACAAGTTTATCCTCCCAGTTCACATGATTTCTTAAGTTATTTTGTATGTGTTATTTTCAGTTCATTGCCCTTCAACATATCTTTCTTCAAAATACCCTTTATTTGGTTTTGAACCCATATTTTGAGAAATGATATATGAAAATGCATACATGATGCATACAATTAACTTTGTCATCAGGCAGTAAAATACTGTAAGATGGGAAATATTTGCGAAGGGGTTAATTTGCTAATCTCGCGATAAAGATTATATTGCGAAATATCCGATTGCATAATTGTAATCCTTAAGGAAGATTATCGACAGAAAAACGTGAAAATAAAACTTCGCGAATATGTTTTGCACTAGAATCGTGAAATTTCGACTCCGCCAAAAAATAACCCCAACCCATTTTACAGTATTCTATTGACGAATTTTGTATTATTGTAGAGACGGAAAATATAAATAATCCGTAAACCTTCAAAGACCTACTGATATTAACATATTGAATATCGATATTTTTGTTACCTCTTTGCAAACGACCGAAACTGAACTCAAACCCTGACGAGGTGATTATTGAATAGAGTGATCTATAAATTTCAGCTTACTTTACTGATTACCTAAGCCGTTTTCCCCAATGAGGATTCTGACAAAATAACTATCTAAGACTGTGCCTTTAAAGAAAATAAAGTAAATCTAAACAACTTGTTGATATTTGATTCAAATTTCGAACAGTTTGACTCAATGAAATATAATTAAGATATCTAACTTATAAAACACCTTTAGAATGAAAGACCTCTAAATATAAGACTTGCATTTCTCAATTTGATAGGTGCTTTAAGGCAATATTTAGCCAGGTTGTTGATAATATCTGTTACCGACATGTGATTTAAATGGTCTTGCTTAAGAATAAGGGACACAACTCTTTACAATTAGAAAAAAAAACCTATATTACACTGGTTTTAGTTTACATAGACTGAACACATAATGTAAACATACATCCATATTCTTCTAAATCAAACGCTACAAAAATGAGAGTATTCTTCCTTTTGACACCATTTCTATCCATATCAGTCAATTGTCTTACAACTTCTAACATGGCTGCAACCCCTGCTCCATTATCATCAACTCCTTTGGAAATATGAATAGTATTAATGAGTTAGACTATTTGAATATATGGGCGTTTGCCAAGCCGTCGCCATGAGATATGCATAACCAAATATTTTACTTCAACAGGAATTATTGTTAAATATCTTTGTAAAACAATTTGAACCTGTATTTAATGCAAAAACTCTTATTGCAAACGGGATAGCACCTCCTAATTTTTACGGTTATGTTGCTTACCGAGCCCGTAAATTTAGATACTATCCGAGTTACCTTATCGATTCTTTAGTTAAACTTAAAGGTTACCAATTTAACACTGTAATTAGATCTTTGAATATTGTTTTATCGGTATGGATATTGATTTTGTCATAAGTAAATTAAAACCAAACTAAATATTATTGTTATACACATACATTCACAGTCCTACAATCATCTGTAGCTATATTTTGGCATTGCAAAAGATAATGTTTTTCTCTGACTGTTATTGACGTCTTTACACTAAATTCATTGGATGTTGTGTGTGTATTGTCTGATATTTAAGTCTTAGATACATCATTAGTTGTTTTTGGCTCTGAACTAGCTTCCAGCAACTGCGAGAACTCTCAGATCTGTACTCTGTTTTTTTGGAAATTTTTTGGATTATTTGTGCATTTAATCGAACTGATGAGTTAAGCACTTTTCAACTGATTTTCATAGTTTGTTTTGATGTTGTACTGTAACACCACTGTCCCATGTTAGGGGAAGGGTTTGATGCCCACAAGCATGTCTTAACCACGCCACGTTCTGTATGTGCCTGCCAATGTCAGGAGCCTGCAATTCAGCGGTTGTTATTTGTTGCTGTTCATCATATTTGTTTTTCGTTTATAATTTTGTAAATAAATCAGGCCGTTAGTTTTCTTGTTTGACTTGTTTCCCATTTGTCATTTGGTGCCTTGTATAGCTTACTATATATGGTATTGTTTTTGCTCATTAAGGTAGTCCAAAACTGCAATTTTAACAGGTTTTGGCAAATTTTGAGTATTTATATATATGTATAAAAGGAATATTTTTTACCCAAATCATATTTTTTTTGGAAGTTAAACTACATATTTTCTTTCGGATACACATTAATACCGTTTGGTTAGTGACATCCTTCGATGCAAACTTTAACATAAACATGTAAAATTGATAATTTTGTATCAAAATGCCTTCAACGTGTAGTGATGAATAAAATTCTTATCTTACTGAGATATGCGAATTTTTAAAAATATGTTTTAGGCATATGATATAGATTCTGTAATATTCAAACTCCAGTGCGAGTGATTCACATTCAGGGGAAATTGGCCCCTACCTCTTTATACATTATTTCTACACAAACTTGAATTATTGCTTGTTGAATAATCTTACATTCTTAAATGTCATAATTCTTCAATGTAGCGCCTGAACTTATGCTTCGTACTTTATTTGGCCTTTTAACATTTTTTATTCGAGCGTCACTGATGAGTCTTTTGTAAACGAAACATGCGTCTGGCGTACAAAATTTGCAATCCTATGATGACTTTATCTTTAATAGCCACTCTAAGATTTTTCAAACAGCAAGAATATACAGGCGATGACATTGCTTTCTGCTTTTAAGTTGTATTAATTTATCTTCAGGTGGTTTAGATAACGATAATTCAATTATTTCTTTACTTAACATTTTTACTGAAATTTAGCTCTTGACGAAACAACTTTATCTTTTTACAAATGCAGCAATTGAATCACTTCTGCTATTGCATTCTATATTCATTATTTTCTATGTATTGTTTTTCACATCAATGAAATATGTTTATTGGCATTATGTTAACCGCGCGTAGTGCCTAGTAGAAAGCTTAAAAGAAGTTGAAAATAACTTTATGACTGAAGTACATTTAACGCTTTCCAAAATAAGTTTACGAGATGGGGTTAAGTTCTTTTTAAAATAAAGACTATGTGAAAGGAATCATAAGGAATATGTATTTGATGCGTATTAATAAAGAAAGGGATCTAGCTGACAATATGGATTGATGGGTAATGTCTTATACACTGTTTGAAAAAAATATGTATCGCGATAATCACTTGTGGTAGTATACTTTTTTTTCGCAATTGTTACCTTTGGTTTCTCTAACTGTATCGTAATGTGCACCTAGTCCAATAATCCGGTCATTTGCTGTTCCAAAGTTAACGCCTCTTGATATACCGATAACTGATTGGAAATAATCCTAGAAAAATGTACGTTCATTTGCTCAATATTTAATTTCAGACAAATATTAAATTTACTTACAACTTTTTCCTTACTGGACGCGATATAGAGAGTGAAGTAAATGAGTAAATGCTCGTCCTCTCCGATCTGTACTTTGTGTCTTTTTTGTTTGTGTTAGTTTTTTGTTTGCTTTGTATCGATCAAACGAACAAAGCCCTTTTCAAGTGATTTTTATAGTTTTTTCTTATGTTGTACTGTTACACCAATGTCCTAGGTTAGAGGGAGGGTTTGGCACATGCAAACAATTTTAAACCCACTATATTCTGTATGTGCCTGTCCCAAGTGAGAAGCCTGTAATTCAGTGGTTGTCGTTTGTTCTCATATATCATCTTTGTTTTCGTTTATTGTTTTGTACCTAAATCAGGTCGATAGGTTTCTCGTTTGAATTGTTTAACAAATCTCATTTCGGGGTCTTTTATAGCTAACTATTCGGTATGAGACTGCTCATTGTTGAACCCGTACGGTGACCTATAGATGTTAATTTCTATGTCATCTAGTCTCTTGTGGAGAGTTGTCACATTGTCAATGATACCACATCGTCTTATTTTTATACGATTTGCTATATATAAAGTCTGAATGTTAACCTTTAAATGTCTTGTGATTATTTGTGTATCGTTTGACTGCTGTCTAATTCGCGTTTAGTCGGCATCTCCTTTTATTCATAATATATAATTTTGCAATAGGTGGCGTTTGAAATGTCTGATAGATTACTTTATCTTCTTTTTTATAAGTTTTGTTTGATTTTTTTTCTTAAGAGAGAGAGAGATAGCTTAAGATCTTAGCTTAACTTAACCCAAACATAAAGATTTTAGAGTAATCAACAATATGTATATTGTATTTATCTATCCTTTACATGCCACTGTTCAATGATAATTATTTAATAAGAAGGCATTACAATTTCGGTCACAAAAGACAAACAGTTTTGATTGTGCTGAAGAATACATAGTTTTTTTTTAAAGATTTAAATACTAGTAGCTGTGCATTCATTTCCATATATATAAAAGATTTCGGTATATTGACTTGGTTTTAAATAGCATGTTATTGTGTTTTGAGATACGTATTCCTACACCCAGCGATTGATATCGTATCTTAATGTTTTCAAGGATATTTTCAAACTTCAATTTTAGTAACAACCTTTACAACGTTTTGGTAAACTATAGTACGAATAAATGCAAATTGACTTGGCATAGATATGAAGAATATGTGAACACAGATACTCTCATTTTTTTGTTTATTAAATCGTTGAATTAGTTGCTTATATGTTTGCGATTTTTGCGAGCATAGAATTGCCATAATCAAATATTGGGTACATAAACGATGATCTACATTCCAGACGTAACTCTATTTTCTGCAACATAGACACAACCCTCCAGTCTTCAAACCGTTATATTATAACTTACAGTAGTGGATACAGAAGCTTCCTGAAATGTATGATATTCAGTTCGTAGTCCATATCTCAAGAATTCTTCATAAATATATTCTTTTGCGGCATACTTATAGTCTTTGTATATAGGATCGTGATGTCTGGTATCCGAAAAGTAACTCCGGATCGATTTCTTCATATACTGTGTATCAGCAGACTTTACACAATGCACTGTAATATAAATAATTTATATAACAGGGTTATATTCTAAATGTAAGAATATGGAAAAACAGACGATGAATATTATTAGTTACGTAGTGTGCTAGTTACCCAATACGATATATATGGAATTTACTGACCCCATATATATCGTATTAGGTCACTAGCAAACTACGTAACGAATGTGTCTTACCAACTATCTTAACATGTGGTATTTAGACTACTAGCATATCAAAGTGATCAAGTATTCAATACCGTTAGTATTAAGAACCTACTTCCATTCGTCTATACACAAAAAAATGCCAACAATAACAACTTGTTAGCTTTAAATGTGTTTTATGAATTTATTTCAATCGTTCATTATCAATTTCTTCGTCTGTTGAAACCTTGAAGAATTTTCCTCAACACCGTGTTGTTTTTATAAAGGTAGGAAACACCACTAATAACCGTGTATTGAAATAAGTCCCGCGTACTAACCCAATATGGAATATACACGGTCTCCACGCGGTTGCTTTTAACCAATCATATTCTTAGAAATGTATAGGAAGTAAGATAATATTCGATATTCAATTCCCAAACAGCCGCTAGCATCTGGTTCCACACTAGTATTCAGTATCTAACTTTGATCAAAACTTTAAAAAATAATAGTACTTTATTAATTGAAGAATTTGGTTATCATATTTGAATCTGTAAATATAAATGAAAACATATTTAGGTAATCTTTTTTTATTATCCCTACACAATCATCTCTCAATATGAACACTTACTTATATCACAATTCTTTCCTTATCAGTGTCCCAATCTATCAATACTATACAATTATAATTACAAAACTACTGACACTCTAGTAACATGCACACAGTATATAACTATGGAAAAGACAGAAGAAGGATGTCAGTTGGCATTCATTTGAAATAAAAACAAAACAAGACAAAACATAGAACTATGTATGAATAATTATGCATTAAGCCGAAAATGTTTAGATACTGATCTTATCAACAGGATTGTCCAACTCTTCATAATTTATAAGGACGGTCATATCTAAAATCGTCGAAAAATAAAGGTAAGAGCTCAGGCAACAAAATGCTGGATGAATCTAGCAGATCTTTCAATCTTCAAGAAAAGCCTATAGATAATATACACCGATTCATTCAGGAGTAATCTTTGTAAAATTTTTGTCCTTGATATTTACGAAGGAATTATATCGACATTGAAACTTCAGAACGGTTCGTCTCACTGTCAATGTTATTGGTCTAAGGTAGCCTTTTAAAGTATCTTTTGAGTATCAAGCTCGCCCTTCATACACAATTACTCTCGACTGAATCTGTATCTATGTCTTGCCTTCCTATATTCAAATTTAATGTAGAAGAAATCAGGTAGGCCTAGTCAACATTTTCGGAAGATCTGAACCTTCTTTCTTTTATTTTCATCAATTTTGAATATAAATGTGCCACTTTTGGTCCTCGGTACCAAGAATGACATGAACGTTGTCGGGTTCTGTATAGCGTAACTTCATTTTATGTATGTTGACATTGTAAATCAAAAAGGTCTCTCTGTCAGTTTTAGCGGTCTCCAGTAGTGTTTTGAAATTTAACTTGTTAAGTTGTTTCGTCAAGAGCTGGTGCATAAAATCCTCAGTATAAATCAAATACGACAACTAGCCAACTATTCATCATAACTGAATCAGTATTGTTGTCTTCACCTGACTGCTCAAAATTTCACGGATAAAAAAAAACAACAGGGAAAACGAATATATTATTTTCCTGAACACTAACCCATTTCCCTAAATTGTTAATTTTAAATGTTACGCTGACATTTTGGTCCTAAAACGTTGCAGGGAAGTTCTTTAAAAGGGAAGGGTACCTTAATCCTGTCCTCAGAAGGCATGACTAGCTTTCAAATGTTTAGGTTTGGGCGCCATGAAGACGGTAAATCCAGACGCACAAAATTTTTGAAGAATTTAATTCATTGAATACAGTTACGGTTATTTTTAAATGAAACCCAATTTGACCTGTTTGATATGCTTTTTATATTGGCAGTTGCATATTTTTCCGCCTTTTATATCTTTATCTATACATTTATGAAGATCATGTTGAAAATGGCATTCTTAAGCCTAGAAGGATCATTCATATTTCAAAATTCAAAATTCAGAATTCAAAACTCAAAAAATCCTACATTAATCTATTATGTTTCCCCGCGCTTACGAAAGCCAACAAAGATAGCACTTGAATATTCTACTGAACGCTATGTTATAAATTTTGTTAAGAATACGAACCCATTAAAACAAGACAAAGGGTCTGTAAAACCTTCATAGGGATGCATCCTACTTTACCATTCGAAACCCTTGGTAAAACAGCGTTCTTGCAAGCAGCAACCATTTATCAAGAAAAAAGGAAAGGAAATGCAAGCCCTATCGTATCGTATCGTATATATATTGAATGTGCAGGCACAGCTGGAATGTCGCTTCACTGAAATTGAACGTTCACAATGGAAAAATTGAAATCATCGCATTTTCGTAAAGTTTTAGATGTAAAACGACCCTCATAGTCAATTTCTGAATGTTATACAAACTTAAATGTACCTGTGGTATCGTTATTTCATTTCTTTGATATAGATTTGAATAACACAAGTCGATGAACGCTGAGTCATTCATCTATGTAGCGAATCAGAAGTAAAGTTAAGATAAATCCCTGTTATTTTCATTTTAATTGAGAAGCTCTTGTTTAAAGTCTGTCTCATAAGAATATAGGTGCGTCTCTTATTATTTTTCTTTTTGACTGGTGTATAGAAATATGGTCATCCCTTGGTCTTCTTCCGATCGGCAGTAAAACGATTGTCAAATCAAGTCCTTTTTGCTGTGCGGGACGTATAAATTCGCAGTCACGCCCGGTCATATTTGGGATGTTTAATCCGATGTTTCGTGTAGAGAGAATGCCACGCTCTCTGCACGTTAAGAACCCTTGCAACAACTTTTGAGGAGTCAAGGCCAAATTTCTGTCGTACCCAATATATCCTTATTTCCAGTGGCATTCCAAATTTCTCGCCCTTCATCCCGGTCGACCGCCTATTACATGACCTTTTGTATTAATTGTTATTTTTCTCTCGTCATAAATATGCATGAAATATTTGCCACTGGATGTTAAGCAAACAACAACCAATCTCATAATATAACCCGGTTTTCCAAAGGGAGATTCTAGTTATTAAAATAGTTATGTATACACAACAGACAGATTTTGTGTATCCTTTATCAAATTTTGATAATTTTATGTTGTTATTTCATCAAAATTCGAGTCAAGTTGTTGACGATTTTCATTTGTGTTGTTAAGGAGTCACGTGTCTGTAATTAAACGGATGATGACACTTTTGTCATTAACTTATGTAATTCAATTTATACATTCATAAAGTTAAGTGTCTTGAATATATATATATATATATATATGAACAAGTCTAAATTGAAAACATAGTTCAAACCACCTATGATTGCGTTGGATATAATCCGCAATTTTTATACGTGTGCATGCAAAACAAATTTCTTGGTAGAGGAGTCTAAATACAGCACAAACAACATTTTCAAAAAGACCAAATGAGTGAAAAGTATATTTTAACAAAACGCATTTGACTATCAGGTCGAACAACTGATGTTCTTAAACCCTGCTGACTGCCATTGACGATTGCCAAATAAACGGATCACAAGATGTAACAAAATTGATCTTATTATTAAATTAATACCAAACAAAAAACAATAAACTTGCGGAAAAGATGGTATACCGCAAACATGAGGTGCAAAAATTTGTACACCATAGCCGGATTTCGACAATTATTGTCTCTTCAGTGATGTTAGGAATCGAAACGGTATTTGGAAAGCCATATAATTTACCTCAATAAGGTTAGACTCTTGAATTTTGAAAGAGTCAAAATAGGATGAACGGATCATATAAACCCGAAGGCAAATATAATACAAGCCCAAACGAAAAAATATAAACAAGTCAAAATTGAAAACAACGTTCAAACCTATGATTGCGTTGGATAAAAACCGCAATTTTTATACGTGTTCATGCAAAACAAATTTCTTCGTAGAGAGGTCTAAATACAGCACAAACAACATTTTCCAAAATAATTATATAAAATCGAATAAAGTCGTGGGATAGCCCAGAATCGATGAATACCGGTATAATAGAAAACTCCAAACAAAGCACACAATACATATATAGTAATTTCATAAAAATGTCACAACTACAAACTATTCTAAAAATAAATGTAAACAATAAACACTGTAAATATACACGTTCTACAGTTGACACGGTTATTGACCTCAATTGATATGAGAATGCAGACAGATTAGTAGCTAATAAATAATAGACACCAATAAGATGGCAAGTGAGGTGATATATAAGAAAAAAATGCACAAACAGCAGCAATAATAGATTGTAATAAAGTTTGTATTTCTCCCTTCTTGACACTCGCATGACCGACATATAGTCCACAAACACCTAAGTGGCGAACAAAAGGGCTAGCACACAATTGAATTTCAAATAAACATGTATACACATATATGACAATAACCAAGTGCGTTTCAAAATACTTGATTATGTATTTTATTTACAATAGTTTACCTATATAAGATATAAATGTAATGTTAAACGCACGAAAGTTGAAAATCGTTCTCCTGTTTTTAAACAGTCACCCAGATTACTAAGATTAAAAACTTACCTGGATTTTGATGTGCATTTTTTTTCAGTCTGCAGAAGATAGTAAAATAAACTAAGACATGAGTTTCGTTAGAAACGGTCAACTCAGTTACACAGTTTAAATCACCTATTGTTTGCAGATGTCTATTGTCCATTTAAATCAATACTACTCACAACATGTATTATATGAGGGGAGCTTCTCAAACCTCTTTCCCAACTTAGTTTATTTTGGCACCTTCTGCAGAAATGAAAAAAAAAAATGAATAGCAAAATCAAGAAAAGTTTATAATTTTCTGAAACATAAAATGCATTTAAAATTTAATTATCTAGTTCCTGCCATGTCTTACAACTTTTCCAGGTGCACAGGTTTGTCTGTACTCAGAATAAAATGTGTGGTGTAAATACGGCCATGTTAGCCAAAAGGTTATGAACCTTAACTGTTAAGGTGAATGTCGTTATAATCTGTTTCACGCATAAAGCTGATAAAATGAAAACTATGTCAAACGTTAAAAACTACCAGAAAGGCATCTGATATAAGTTAGACAAATGTATTTGAGAATGTTTTCATGAAAATTAATAATGTTTTCAAATTGTAAAAATAATTACATTAAAAAAAATGTGATTCCGGGCCCTTCTTTAAGGTGCTTTCTCATAATTCCGGAATTCAACAAGATCTCCAATCACAGGCGCTTAGATTGAACCCTCCTTTTAAATTCAATTTTTGGAATTTATTTAAAATTGGAAAACAGGGGCTTCGGTTATACAACTCTAATTGTTAAATTAAACGATAAAAGCAAGAATACGTTAAAAAGGAGGAAATAAGTAAATTACTTCAGAAATTAAGAAATTTTACTTAAATTTAATTAAAGAATAAAAAAGGGGGGGGACATTCCCCAATCGATTGTGACTCCAATATGAAATGTAACCGTAGGAGCCTTGGGCAAACTCCTTATTTTGTCCCCCTCCAATTTTAAGCCAAAAATTGAAACTAAAAACTGAAAATGATAGAGGACAATGACTTACTTTTAGACTATTTTACTATATAGAAAATATTTGAGTAAGGCCCTTTTATCAATTGAAAAATTGGCAAATTTGTAGTTTCCGCACTCTAACTTTATTTGCCTCAATCAAATGTTATGAAACTTAGACACAATGCTTATTGCCACTTGAACAATGAACAAACCCCAATAATTAAGGAATAAAAAGCCCCGATGTCAATATATGGAAAAGAGGGCTGCTTTAAATGCCATCAGTACCACTGAACCAAAATGTACATATGATACATATGCGGATAATTGGCATGTTCCAGAGAGGTATACAGGCAGTAGAAACATACATTGAAGCTGGTACTCCATGAATTTTTTTAGTATTTTAACCCAATTTTACACAAAGCTTCTATAGCATTGTACTCGTCGTTTGCTATTTAAAGAGGGAAATGATAACTTAATATGGAAATTTTGTTTTGATTTCTAATCTTTTTTATTGTTACTATTTACCAGCACATTTTCTTGTGAATTTATAACTAATAGTGTCCTTGTTATAACGGAACCAACATTGAAAAGATCAAGTTTTCAGTGTTTACAGGGGAGGTAATATTTTGACACTAGATTTCCCACTGACAGTGTTAAGATGCAATGAAAAAATGCGGAAGCCCTGGGTTAAATTGATATTCAGGAACATTTTCGCCCTTAACAAAGACGATTTCGGGTTAAATAAATAACAGAAATAAATCAATAAATAATAATTTAAGAAAAATAGTTGAAATTTTATAACACAATCAAATATAGTATGTCAAAATTATGTAAGCACGTTCTCTACAATGTAAGAAAATTTGTCTTTTCTGACACAATGCGAAATGCCTAATTTCTAACAGCATAGAATTCTCAAAATGTTCCCTGTGTGAATAAAAAACATAGCTACGGTCTCCATTGATTGGTAACTTCAGTGAAGGCATTGCATTCTTCGCCTGCCTATTCACTAATTGTACAACTGACAATAATTCTCATTCACTACACAAAAAAGCGGACGCAGTATATGTTTGTGTTGTATAAATGAAGATGGTGCACAATTTGCCACAAAAAGGTTCATCTTCAATCTTAATCAATGCAAACAATTTTAATATATGGAATTTGGAATAGGTACTAGATTTAAGCTTCATAACATCTATTCTGTATTTAAGTGAAATATGTAATAAGCCCCGTTTATTTACCAGCAGTTACGGATTCAAGCGGGGAGTACCTGCCCCCACTCCCCACCCCCCCCCCCCCCCCCCCAAAAAAAAAGAACAAAATGTGTAATAAAGGTAAATTTAAAGCCAATTTTGCGTTAAAATAAAGTCCTCTAGTTCTCATTCTAAGGAGCGCCCCCCAACCCCAACCCTCTAACATCTAACACCAAAGCCTGGATCTGCGTCTGACCTTTGACCTTTATAAATGGTCAGATCAGTTAAGCGTGAGAAAATTTTTAAACGTGAATACTGACGCCAAATTTTTCTACCAATATATGGTATACATGTAGTGTGAATTGTACATTATAAGTTACTATTGTATTGCTCTAGAATAATCCAATTATTTACTGATACATCACTGAGTCACTAAGTGTATTCTAAGGGGAAAATGTAAACATTATGAATGATTTTCAACTTATGAACTAAGGAAAAACATGACACATTCGAAAAAGGATTGAAATGACACTCGATATCCCCTCTCTCCCGAATTATAAGTGATAACAAGAAATTTTTATTTTGTCTGACATAATTTTGGCACATATCCTTGCAAAAGAGAGGCGAAAGATACTGAATGACATTCAAACTCATAAGTCAAAAATAAACTGACAAAGACATGGCTAAACAAGAAAAAGGCCAACAGACAAACAATAGTACACAAAACACAACATAGAAAACTAAAGACTGAGCAACACGAACCCCACGAAATACTGGGGGTGATCTCAGGTGCTCCAGGAGTGGGTAAGCAGATCCAGCTCCATGTTTATTGGTTGGTGGAATTATTCGGAGACAACGAGAACGTTAAAACTGTGAAAATTTGAAGGGGTCACTTATCTCTTTTTTATACATATTTTCTGTTTTAAATAATTGTTTAATTTTGAATCCTAAACAATAAAATGTATTTCATTTGACGGTCTAATATCAAATTAAATCACTTACTTTACTCTACAAAATATCAAGGCATATTAAGGACATATATCCATCGACGCTTCACATTTTACATATTTCTAAAACTTTAAAATTTGCTTAAATTTTCCATATTGAGACAACATATACTTATTTTATATATATATAACCTTGATGTTATTGTCGCATCGTATTCGGCCAGGGGAGGAAATATAGTCGAAAAAATAAGTCTCCGAAGATTAAAAATTTGTTTTCAATTCACTAATTAGACAGTACACAGCAGACAGGTTGATGCTATTGATTTTTATTCTCATAACATGCACACATTAAACTTAACATGAAAGATAGCTTCAAAAACATGTAAATCATTAAAAACATTTTAAGTTAGCAATTACTTATCAATAAAAAAGACTCTATGTACATTACATAAATTATACTTACAACTGAACAACAAATTAATTACATAATGAAGAAATATTGAAATCCCCATTCTAATGATATTTATAACAGTAAACAAAACACAAAAGTGTCTAAGCGTGTCCAAACCATTTATAAATAGATTCAGTATAGTTATTTGACCTTGGAGATGTCAATTTCAGATTTTTGGAAAATCGACCGACCTGAATAGACTATTTTCATATTACAAACTTTCGACTCCGGATTTTACAGTTTTTCGACAGGTTACCTTTTCTGTGGTAGGACATCCTGGTACTCGGTCAAGTAAGAGCACGCAAAAAAAGTAAAATCAAACATATAATCGGTGCAATTTGGAGAGAAAGTTTACTGTTTTCGAAAGATTTTGTCGTGTATAGAAAACATAAAACAGTTAATTTCCCCCAAAAACGACGTATACGTTACCTATGGATCACCGGCCTTTCACATTTTCTGAAATATGCAAAAAAAGGGGGAATGGTACCTAGCCAAAATAAGGAGAAAACAGACATCGAGGCAAAAAATGAAGAATAAGACGATTAGAAATATTTTAGTCAACAAGACATGTAATTTGATTCGAGCGCCATTTATGAGTCTTATGTAGACTAAACTAGCATTTTACATTGCAAATTGGTAAAAAGACTTGTATTTTGCTGAATTTTTTAAAGCGTGACTTGAAAAATTGCTTCACGGTATAGATGGATCACAGGTGTTACATAATTTATAAATTCATAAACACAAATGAAATGGAACATTGTGCATACAATGAAAGTAGAGAGAGAAAAGTACAAAATGCGACAAAACTTTAGCATCAATGAAATGATGAAAGTGAAAGAAAACAGCTTTTGAATACGCAAAATATAAATGTCCATATAATAAAGGAATAACAGTACCGTATTGAAGAGCTGAAAACTTCAACTTGACGGGGGCAAAGTTTTATATGAGACTGAGAGTCGAGCCAGCAAAACGGATATTTGCGATCGACATACCCACAATACAGCAATTGAAATACATAAAATTTAAAGAACAAATATTTGAAATATCCTGGAAATATACATATCACAGATTCCCGGATCAAAATTTTGAACGCCAGATGCTCCCTTCGTTTAAGAAAGATTCGACCGTGATGCTTAAGTTAAAAAGACAAAATAAAGTACAAAATACAGCTAATGTAATCTATTCCTGGGGTAGAAAATCCTAAGTATTTCGAAAAATTCAAAGTTTTGTAAACAGTTAATTTAATTTATAATTATGACCATATCAATGATAATTCTTGTCAACACAGAAGTGCTGACATATGTAAACATATTTGAAGGCATATTCTTCCTCCTAAGATGTTTGTATAATTTTTATTGATAAAGTAAAATAACATGCACACATCAAACTTAACATGAATGATAGCTAACAAAGGGCTGGTGATACCCTGTGGGAGAAAACCTTCAACATCAGTAGCATCGACCCAGTGGTTGTAAATAAACTCATCATAGATACCCGGATTTAAATTTTGTACGTCAGATTCGCGTTTCGTCTACAAAAGACGTATCAGTGATGCTCGAACCAAAAAGTTAAAAAGGCCTAATAAAGTACGAAATTAAAGAGCATAAGAGCGATATATTACGAAAAGTTTTAACAAATACAGCAAAGATAATCTATTCCAGAGGTTGAAAATCCTTAGTTTATTGAAAAATTCAACAGATAATTTATAATTATGATCAGTCACCATACCAATAATAATTCATGTCACCACAGAAGTGCTGACTACTGGGCTGGTGATAACTCGGATGAGGGGGAAACCTCCTACAGAAGTGACATCTGGAATCGACGACCGCGATTGTCTTAGGTTGTTGCCAAAATCTCTTACCGCCAACCTTTGAATTGACTGTAGGCACTATTCCATCAAAAGTAGCGTTACATGATATACTCCATCACAACTCCGACAGTACATTATGAAATTGACGACAGATGCCATCCAGTACAAAATGCGCTTCATGAAATATTGTATACGATTATGTCGTCGGATTTGTCTTAAGCATGTCATTTATACCATATTCGTCCCTAAATTTTGTTGAAATTTCTTTATATTTGGGTTTGAGGGATTGTTTCCTTTGTTGTTTTGTCACCACTTTATGATTTGTCTTTTATTTTATTTCGATAAAATAATACAAAAACAAAAAACTCCAAATGGAACTGAAATATAAATCAAACTAGAAATGAATTAAAAAATCATTGGGTGTCGATAAGAAATGTAAACACCACTGAATAAATTGCTTGTGTCCAAAGCACTTTCTGGATTTCTGGATTTACCTTCATCAGAAACGCTTTAAACCGAATAATTGAAAGCCAAAAATGTATAAGAAAAGTAGCGGTTGAAAGTAAGATGAGAGTCCGATTGAACTTTCCACTGGTAGTACTTTACGCAAATTTATTGACGGTAGACAATAAAAATATAGTACACCGATATGAATTTGTAATGTTTATCAGGACTCCGATTTGGAGAACCGACGTCTATAAGATACCGGACGTCATCCGGAGTCCAACAAATAACACAAAATTACACACATATCTTATTCGAAAAAGAATACATTTTGTAAGAGGGGTATTTGATGGTTGTTAAGCCCGCTTGAGTCTCTGTAAACATTTACAGCTAACAGACATATTTTCGAAATAACATAATGCGCCATAAAAAAAAACTAGACTGAAAGACATGAAAGAATTATGGCCAATGTCTGCTTTATTTTTCTTACCCAGAAAGGGTCAAATTCGAAGTGTTGATAAAACTTTGTGGAATTCGAATGTTTAACAGTCTAACTGGTATACCAAAGTGATGTTTCACGTAATCACTTAACATATATCTATAAAATAAAATTTATTAAGCCGTCTTGCTGAATAAACTTAATTTATATATCAATGCAAAGTTGACATAATTTTGTGAAGTTTTACATTGAAGGGCATTTGGAACAAAATAAATTTTAAATGTATTGCATATCCTGATTTAAAAACAAATTTTGATTTTGGATTGAAATATCTTTCTGATAATGTTTTCTAAAATCGATTAAAACTTTTGGACATTCATTCAAAAGCAGATGACTGCAAGCGAATTGTCTAAACAGTACTGATTTTACCGAAGTGGATAAGTCTGGGAATTGACCAATAGACTGAATAATTTATTGTTCAGACTTTCAGATGATGTTAATATCAAAATGACCGTTTCAAACTAATATTCATTTACTAGTTTTAATTTGTTACATCTTCAAAAAACGGCATAGTATTATAAAACGTCAAAGTGCAAACATGAAGCTATGATGTAATAAATTTTAGTTAAGTTGGAGAGATTTTCTGAAAATAGTCCCAAATGTAAAAATGAATATGGGTCAGATTAGCACTACCTCGTACTTCACCGATATTGCTTACTTTCAATATCAAATGAACGTTTAACATTTACAGAAACCATAAGTAGACATTTATATTTGTTTACAGTCTTTAAAACAGTTTTTTCTTAGAGCAGTCTGTTAAGTGTAATTGTTGATTTATAAAATTTTATATGTAGGTGCAATGCCCTAGGTAGTGAAAATGAAACCAATTCAATGTGATATTTATCAAATAATAAAAATGTCACCGTACAATTATTGTTGATATCCGTCTATGATTCGGCTACATAAACTCATTGACAAAGGTTGTTGTAAATCTTTTAATCTTGACCTTTTTGCAAAAACCATTTGATATTTAAAACATACGTGTTATCTTATTTATTACTTTTTTTGAATGTTATTATTGATTTACATTGTGTCTACATGACTGCGTTCTTATCCCATTTTTTCATTAAAATCAGTATAAGATAACTGATTTCAAGGATTTTGTTATACTGATTAGTTCTATGAAAACGGTATATCTTAAGCATTATAGTTTTTTTGTTGATTTCTGTTTCATTTGTTTTCCCTTCGCCTTACTAATTTACATTTCACTCTCTTCGTAATGCTTTTTTGTTCTTTGTTGACATTGAAATAAAAAGTTCTTAACGAATTTATATTAATAACTTCTCTTAAGTTTCAGATCTAGAGTAGTCCGCAAATAAAAGAGGGCCTCAAAATTTCATGCAACACATTATGACGCAATTTGGTGCCATACATTTCATTCGATTCAAGAGTTTTGTTTTGAAATTACCGAATCAACTCGGGGACGCATCTTTCAGAAGTAGCTACGCTAATTAACTGGTCGTCGTTTGGACTGTAATAGCTTGAAGACATTCTTAAAGTAGCTTGATACCATTAAAATTCAAGGACTTTAAAATACTTTTCCGACATAATCATGATACTGTTTTATAATATTATTCTTCCAAAATATGAATAAAATATATATCAAATCACTACAATAAGGTAACATCAACGGTACAAATTTTTCTGCCCCTGATGCGTATTTCGACAATAAATGTCTCGTTAGTGATGATGACGGAGGCCAAAATATTTGAAAATCGAAAACTTATGAAAAAAAACGTTAGGCTCAAAAAACCAAAATGGAGAAAAAGTAAAGCCAAAACCGGGCAATTAATCAAAGCTTTGCATGAGGGAGATATATTCCTTATTTTAAAACAATATCCAAAATTTTGTAACAACAAAGGAGTCAGTTCACGAAAGGTTAAAATTGCTAAGAATTTGATGTTTTTTTAATCCGGCCAAAATACTACAAATTTCACATAATAATAGTTGTGACATAACTATTAATACAAAATAACTTCTTTTTGGTACATCACATTAAAGATGACGAAGAATTTACCCCTCAAAAATGCATTACTTGTGTTATAACATCAGGAATTCAATGCAATTATTGGCAACTTTTGGCAACAGAATATTTTGGATCCTTGGTGGCTGCCAAGGGTATCCTCAAGCTTTAAGTTCCAAAAAATGCACAAAATCATCATCATTTGACATTATATAAAAATGTGTTGACTTTCAAGCCTAGAACGTACTCTAATCAAGAGAGAATTGTTAAACCTAGTAGTAAGAAGGCTTTTGAAATAGTTCCATTTAAGAACCAAATTATGGCCATTTTGATATTTCATGATAAAGTTGAATTTCAAGGCCATGTTTGGCCTAAAGTGAACCTTGTCCTTTAAACAACACAATATCCGTATCTTGATACTAGAACCGAAGTACTGGCTACTGGTCTGATTATACCATCGTTGACTAACACAAAGCTTATATCGGAAAAAACACTATTAAATGATTAGAAAGAAAGCTAAATAATCGAATTTTTATCAGTCATTTTTATTCATGTTTTCCCGAAATAAAGGGGCTTATAGCACTGTAAGTATGTTGTTTTTTTCTTATTGTGAAACGCATATTTTTCTTTTTTACTTTTAACTTAAGAAATCACATGCGTAGACTAATATAACATCACATTTTTGGTGACCAAAATAGTCTTATTCCTTTCTTTATTACTAATTTTGGGAAATTTATCCAAAATACTAAATACTAGTTTAGTAAAATGTCGTTTTTGCTATTTAAATTAATTGTTTAATCGGTTTTTTCCCAATCAAAATCCTAAAAACTGACAAAAGTTGATTGCCTTTGATAATTGTTATTTTTTTATATACATGTACATTTGTACATCACAGGCATGCGTATAATTTATTTTACAGCTGGTTTACCTCATTGTAGATTATAGATATAGGAAGATGTGGTATGAGTGCCAATGAGACAACTCTCCATCCAAGTCACAATTTGTAAAAGTAAACCATTATAGGTCAAAGTACGGCCTTCAACACGAAGCCTTGGCTCACACCGAACTGCAAGCTATATAATGACTAGTGTAAAACCATTCAAAAAGGAAAACCAACGGTCTAATCTATATAAAAAAACGAGAACGAGAAACACTTAGGAACCACATCAACAAATGACAACCACTGAACATCAGGTTCCTGACTTAGGCAGGTGCAAACAAATGCAGCGGGTTTAAACGTTTTACTAGGCGCAAACCATCACCCTACCTGAAACAATAGTGTAACATCACAACATAGAAAGACACACTATAAAATATCAATTATAATCGCTTAACTCAATCAAAAGACATACTAACAAAAACAAGTGAACATACACTGAACGAATAAATTTGATCTATGACACAATATAAATACAAAATAAATAAAACAAGGGGATTAGATTTAAAACAATATCAGAAAGACAACCATAACCTTGGACAAAATGCCGCCAAATAAAATAACGTACACAGGTAAATAAAAATAAGTTTGTTGTAAGGTATACATGGAGTACTGAAATATTTTTTAAGAAATAAATAATTTTGTTGTTCCTAA